TAAGAAATTTTTATTAAATGCTATTATATTTACCAATAAAAAGTTATAGATTCAAAATATGAAGATAAAAATAGTGTAAATATAAGTGTGTCATTGTTTTGTCATTTCTAAAAAATTTGTCATTGAAATTGTGAGTAAAAAATTTGAGATTATTTATACATATAACAATGAAATAGATATGGAATAAACAGAAATTGAAGTTATCTCTCTAATAATTGGATCAAAATTAAACAAATAATAGTTGAATGGACTACAAAAAGGAACTGAAATCATTTGATCTTTGTGCCAAAAGTTAGATGATTATAGTAACTTTTTGTGTTAGAGAAGAATATTATTCAAAAAGAAATAAAAATTAATGAAAATTGGTTATTAAATTTTTAAATTAAAATGTTTTTGATAAGATAACTTTCCTATTTAGAAACTAGATTTTGACAGAATTATTATTGTTACATAGTCTTGCACTTATTCAAAATCTAATAAATTCCTGAAAATGATTTGAATATTGGAAAATTTTTTTATCATTTCTTTGTGAGAAAAATCTCATCTTGTTCTTGGGCCATCTCAACAACTCTCAATAATGTTCTCAAATTACAGTAAAACACTAAAAAATTTATTTACACCATGATTTAACATATTAAACATAACAAACTTCAATTACTTTACTAATTGAAACATGGTGAGTGAAGCAAGCAAGCTTTTTTGGCAGTGACTTAAACTGACAAATTCCTGAAACACATTTTGCAAAGTAGAATGAAATTTGCACATTGATAGAAGTAATGAAATGGCATATCATGACAGAATAGGAGATATTGGGGGTGAAAGATCATCCCCGTATTAGTCAATGGGAAAATTTAGCATTGTAAAAATGTAACAAACAAGCACACACTATCCAACATATGGCAAAGCTCTCGTGAAATTTGTTTTGAATACCAATCTTTTTTTCCATTTTCCTCGAAAAATTTACCCTATTTACTTTTATTTATATCTTCTTCTTCACGTGTTATGCCCGGTCCACCGGACGTTGGCGATCACCAAGGAGAGGGAGTTCCTATCTTCGGCTGTTCTTATTACCTTCGCAATGTTTTGTATGCCTGTCCATTTTTTAATATTGTCCATCCATGATAAATGTCTTCAGCCTCGTTTACGCTTTCCCTCAATCTTTCCATTGAGGATTAGTTGTGGGATTTTGTATTTTTCTCCTCTAGTGATATGTCCCAAGTATGCAATCTTTCTGCATTTGATTGTTGACAGCAATTTTCTGTTTGTTCTTGCTCTGCTTAGAATTTCGTTGTTGGTCACTCGATCCGTCTATGGGACTCTCAGCATCTTTCTGTGAATCCACATCTCAAATGCCTCCAGGTTTCTTTCTGTATTCTTTTTTAATGTCCAGCTTTCTACACCATAGAGAAGAACTGACCAAATATAACATTCGGCCATGCGTTGCCGCAATTTCAAATTTAAATTGTCGTTGCAAAGCAGGGTTTTCATTTTTTGGAAGGATGTTCTAGCTGCTGCTATTCTGCATTTAATTTCTTTCCCTGAATCTATATTTTCTGTAATTATGCTTCCCAAGTATTTAAACTGTTTGACCTGTTCAATTTTTTTTTGGTCAAGAACAAGTTGTGCCTCTCTGTGTGGGGTCTGACTAAAAATCATAAATTTAGTTTTGTTTTCATTTATTTTGAGACTGGCATCAATTCCTGCTGAGTTAATTTTGTTTAGTAGTACCTGTAAGCCTTCTAGGCTGTCGCATATGATTAGTGTATCATCAGCATATCTAATGATGTTAAGAATTACGCCATTGATTTTATTCCCATAATTTGAGTTTTCTAAGGCATTTTTGAAGATTTTGTCTGAGTACAGATTAAACAATAAGGGCGAAAGAATGCAGCCCTGCCGGACTCCTCTCTGTNTATGTTAAACATCTAATTAAATAATAATTATGACAAAATATTAATATAATTATATAGATAAGTATATGGTAAGTACTAATATTGTTAAAAAATTATTATATGATATGTTAATATGCGTTTCATCAAAATAAAATGCCCTTGTAACAGGCGAAAGCCTTCTACGCCAATAAAGATTACTTACTTACTTAAAAAAATTTCCCAGTTTGTTGCTTGTCCCAGGATTTCGAGAAAAAAGTGATCTGTTTCCTAGGATCCCAGAAAATGCTGGGATATAATTAATTATTTTTAAGATATAAAATAAATCTCAACATGACTTTATCAATGGAACAGAAAAGTGACATTAACGTAAATTTTCTGGATCTGTCCATAACTTGTAAATATGGGAAAATTTGGCAGATGTTTATCGAAAACCTAACTATCTACCTATTATTATACGGAAGAATTTTTTTGATTTTCAGAATTTTAAGAATGCAGCCTTTCGATCATGGATAAAGCAGGCCTATACCCACTGTACGAGTATGTTTGACACACATAGAGAATTAAATTACATACGTACAATAGCTGTACAACAGGGATATCGTTTAAGTGAAATTAATGCTCTTATTGCTAAATTTTGTAATCAAACAAATAAGCAACCTACAACAAAGAACCAAGGACGAAGAGTAGTTCTCAACTATATACCTTTCCTGCAATCGATGATTAAAAAATTATCTCACAAGAATAATTTAAGAGTTATTTATTGTCGTAATCCTACGATTTATAGAATTTTACGAAATGATAAGAAGAAAGGAAACCGTAACAATAGTACAGGAGTTTATTCTATTCCTTTAAGTGACCGCCATTTTAATTCAGATTCGTTTACATTGGTGCCACTACAAGACTTTTAAAACAGAGGCTTAAAGAACATAAGTATTCTATTACTAAACGTGGACAACACCGACCTTGCAGCCTTCGCTAAACATCAAGATATTAATGTACATTGGGACAAAGCATCCATAATTAGGACAGCCACCAACAAACAAGTACTTAAACATATTGAAAAACCTGAAATTTACAAGGCCCATATTAACAAAGGAGGCATCAACCATAGAGACACAGAAAGTCTTATCTTTTACATGGAAATCTTTTTACCACGACAATTAATTTTCTTAATACTTTATTTAATTTAATTCTTTACCTCGATTAATTTTCTTAATATTTTATTGTAATTTAATTTTGTTTTTACGTTTTATTTTATTTTTATTTTGTTGTAATTAATTTTAAATTTTTAAACCATTGTATTGCTTGTGTTTTATTTTTTATGTTCATTTTTGTTTAAAAGTGGCTTAACTGAAAAAGACTATTAAATATAGTCAAAAACGTTTTTATTTTATTAAATACTTCATTGCTGGAAATACTAAGGTGTTTGATTATTTTAAGTATTTATATTTCAGTAAGTTATTTTATTTTAGTACTTCTTTTGCTGTCTAGTATTCTTGATTTGTCTACCTTTGTTACTTTAATAGTGGCATCAAGCTTATAACCCAAAAATTTGGCAGTTTATTTGGTTTTAATAATTAGGTTTATGAAAAAACTTCATACTTGCATATTTCTTACTTGTTTGTATCCTTGCCAAATTTACAGAATTTGGCATAATGCAACAGTTATTGAAGCTACTGTACATGGTTAAAAATTAAGACAGCATCAGCTCAATTATTCAAGATATTACAGATTCTGATAAGTAAACAATTTTCAGTCTTGCCACAAATAGGCTGCATATTGATTATTGACAATCTGTGATGTGCCGTAACAAGCAAAAATTAAAAAACTAATAAGTAGGTTTAAAATTAATAAATAGAAATGTATTCTGACAGTTTATGAATTAATTATACTTTCTATTTGCAAAATTTCTTCACCCTTAACACAAAATAAGAAAAAAGTAAACTTTTTAGAAATTTTTGGATTTCCCGGGTTAAAAAACAGCCAGGATCCTGTTAGAGAAACCCTAGTAATGATTAAGTAACAAAATTTGGCATGGTGACTTATATATGAGGGACTTTGATTCTATTAAATTTTGGTGGTTAAAGGTCAAGGGGGTGAGGAGATACAGAGGGAGTCATGTGTCATATCTTGAGAGGGATATGACTTAATGAAGATTTTATTTGTTATTAACATTTTTTTAATAAAATTCATCCGTATGTTCAAAATTAAGCTTTTTGTTATTTTATAGTAATTAAAAATATAAGTTTTTAATAACAAAATCTTATAACAGATGATGTGATGCATAATTTTATTTATTTTGTTTAATAATATAAAAGTTATTTTGTTTAATAAAAACTCATAACAGCCAGGAAAGTTATGCAACTTGTTGCTGAATTTTTTTTGATCAATCATACTAGTTAAATATGATTTTTTTCATAATTTTTAAGTTTATTTGAATAATTATGATTAACCCTGAAAAATTAAGGTTTACACATTAAAAGATGAGATAAGAACAAAATTTAAAAAATCTACATTTTTATTAGGTGAATTTGCTTCTAAAAGTTGTAAGCTAGCATTAAGTAGCAGAAAAGACTTAATAAAATCATTTAGAAAAAGTGAAGAATTTAGAAAATGTTTTAGTGAAGATACTGATTACATGTGCTTATATTTTAGTTGAACTTTATTTGACCTTTTATTGTGTTGTTAGTATAAAAATAAGTAATTTGAAAATAGCACACGTAAAAAATTATTAAAAGACTAAATATTGTAAAATGAATTTAATTACTATCTCTCTAATATTTGAAATTTCTACCTAATTTAAGGTTTGTATATAGAATTTTAAAAAATTATATTGTATATTGTATTTAATTTGAGATTCAAAAGTTAAATTACTGATTTCAAAAGGCTTAAAAAATAATTTATAAAGAGTAATATGATGCATTTTATTAATTTTTTTCAAAATTATAGATGTCGAAAACTTCCTAAGGCTTTAAGAGAATGGCAAGCCTTTTTAGATTTAAAGAAAAAAATTGATGATTTTAATGAAAAATGCCCATTATTACAATTAATGGCTCATAAGGCAATGCTACCAAGACATTGGCATAAAATATCAGAACTGATTAATTATAAATTTAATATAGATTCTGAAACATTCTCTCTTAGAGATGTGATAGAAGCACCTTTATTAAAGTTTAAAGATGATGTGGAAGTAAGTTATATTTTTATTATATTAAATTTTGAAAATATAAATTTATGTGTATCTTATAAATTCAGTTAAATTCAATTTGTTAAAATATAAATATTTATTGAAAAAAATTAAATTATTGCTTTTTTTTTTTATGTATATGAGCTCTCTGATCTTTACAAGATTGTGATAAGTGAAAGAGTTGTTATTACAGGTATATCTCGACTTACGTCATTTCAAGTTACGTCGTTCCCGATTATACGTCGTTTGTCAAAAACTTATATGGAAAAATAAAAATCAAGTTTAAGTCATTTTATTTGACTTTATGTTTGTTTGCCACAAATATTGAAGTCATAATATCACTAGAAAAGCGTTTAAAGCACATAAAATCATATTAAAATATATATATATTTACATGTACTGTATTTACAGTACATGCATTCGTAAATTTAGATTACTTTTTTCTGTACTATATTAAAAACTAAAATTTATTTGTTTGTAAGCTTAAAATAGATCCTTATTAACCATATATTATTAAAAATGCATTAATAAATAAAATACAGAACCGGAATGGTAATTTATGGTTTAGTTTAGTGACGTAGATTCGGAGACAAGTAAGTTTGACTTACGTCATTTTTTGACTTACATTGCCTCTCCTGGAACCAATTATCGATGCAAGGCAAGGTATACCTGTATTAGCATAAAAATAACTTTTATGGTAATTTAAAATTTACTATTAAATGAAATTATGTAATATTGTTTAACATTATATTACAAAATCTAATAGAGATCATTCTACAGTAAATACTAAAGTTTTGATTACACTTTTAATTAAATAAATTATTATTTTTTTAATTATTCAATAGAAATAACATACTAAATATTATATAAACTGGATTTTTATTTGAAGTTTTTTTAATATAACATAGGATGTGATTACCAAAGAAAACATTGTTAAATGTAAAATTGTTAATTCTGGTTTTTAAATAAAATAGTTTAACTGAAAAATGAGAGTTTTAGTTTCCTATATAATCTATCTTGTAAAGGTCTATGTAGGATCAAATTTAAGTTTTTTTTTGTTACGAAAATAAACTTAAAACATAACTGTAGTTAATTGGTAACAATTGTTTGTAGCTCTTGGTTAAAATTTGCTATAGAATAAGCAGTAAATGAAAATTTAATCTGTTAGGAAATATTTACAAATTTAATAATCATATTTAGTAAGTTTAATAATATAATAATAATAATTACTTTTAATTATCTTAAACTCTTACAGAAATTTAATACAAACCTGCTAACCTTAAACTTATAAATATAAATGTATGGTATTTGGTATATATTTTTGTCAGCAAATAGCTGTATATATATATAGATATCAATTAGTTAAATAACTAAAATACAAAATTTATTTAAAATTAGGATATATGCTTAGCAGCTGTAAAAGAACAAGATATTGAAGCAAAATTAAAACAAATAATAGTTGAATGGACTACAAAAGTATTTTCATTTTCCACTTTCAAGAATCGTGGAGAAGTTTTATTGAAAGGGCAAGAAACAACTGATATCATAACAAATTTGGATGATAGTTTGATGGTTTTAGGATCATTACTAAGTAATAGGTATGAAAAGAGCATAAATAATTTTGTTTAAATTATGGTTACTAAATATTTGTTTACTAACTTAAAATATAAAACTTTATATGATTAATTGAGCTATTTATTGAGGTTATATGTTTGTAAAAAGTACACAGCTAATAAGATTAATTAGCATTAAAAAATTATATAATTTTTTTCAAATTTATAGTTAACTGTAATAAAATTTTTAATTTTATTTAAAATTTATAAGTTAATAATTTAAATCTGTTTTTGAAATAAATAAAAGTGCATTAGAATAATACTGAATAAATGAAAAAATCTATTAATGTATCAGATGTTGCAAGGTAATTAAATATTTTCTCATGTAAATTTTAGTGTAAGAAATTTTTATTAAATGCTATTATATTTACCAATAAAAAGTTATAGATTCAAAATATGAAGATAAAAATAGTGTAAATATAAGTGTGTCATTGTTTTGTCATTTCTAAAAAATTTGTCATTGAAATTGTGAGTAAAAAATTTGAGATTATTTATACATATAACAATGAAATAGATATGGAATAAACAGAAATTGAAGTTATCTCTCTAATAATTGGATCAAAATTAAACAAATAATAGTTGAATGGACTACAAAAAGGAACTGAAATCATTTGATCTTTGTGCCAAAAGTTAGATGATTATAGTAACTTTTTGTGTTAGAGAAGAATATTATTCAAAAAGAAATAAAAATTAATGAAAATTGGTTATTAAATTTTTAAATTAAAATGTTTTTGATAAGATAACTTTCCTATTTAGAAACTAGATTTTGACAGAATTATTATTGTTACATAGTCTTGCACTTATTCAAAATCTAATAAATTCCTGAAAATGATTTGAATATTGGAAAATTTTTTTATCATTTCTTTGTGAGAAAAATCTCATCTTGTTCTTGGGCCATCTCAACAACTCTCAATAATGTTCTCAAATTACAGTAAAACACTAAAAAATTTATTTACACCATGATTTAACATATTAAACATAACAAACTTCAATTACTTTACTAATTGAAACATGGTGAGTGAAGCAAGCAAGCTTTTTTGGCAGTGACTTAAACTGACAAATTCCTGAAACACATTTTGCAAAGTAGAATGAAATTTGCACATTGATAGAAGTAATGAAATGGCATATCATGACAGAATAGGAGATATTGGGGGTGAAAGATCATCCCCGTATTAGTCAATGGGAAAATTTAGCATTGTAAAAATGTAACAAACAAGCACACACTATCCAACATATGGCAAAGCTCTCGTGAAATTTGTTTTGAATACCAATCTTTTTTTCCATTTTCCTCGAAAAATTTACCCTATTTACTTTTATTTATATCTTCTTCTTCACGTGTTATGCCCGGTCCACCGGACGTTGGCGATCACCAAGGAGAGGGAGTTCCTATCTTCGGCTGTTCTTATTACCTTCGCAATGTTTTGTATGCCTGTCCATTTTTTAATATTGTCCATCCATGATAAATGTCTTCAGCCTCGTTTACGCTTTCCCTCAATCTTTCCATTGAGGATTAGTTGTGGGATTTTGTATTTTTCTCCTCTAGTGATATGTCCCAAGTATGCAATCTTTCTGCATTTGATTGTTGACAGCAATTTTCTGTTTGTTCTTGCTCTGCTTAGAATTTCGTTGTTGGTCACTCGATCCGTCCATGGGACTCTCAGCATCCTTCTGTGAATCCACATCTCAAATGCCTCCAGTCTTCTTTCTGTATTCCTTTTTAATGTCCAGCTTTCCACACCATAGAGGAGAACTGACCAAATATAACATTCGGCCATGCGTTGCCGCAATTTCAAATTTAAATTGTCGTTGCAGAGCAGGGTTTTCATTTTTTGGAAGGATGTTCTAGCTGCTGCTATCCTGCATTTAATTTCTTTCCCTGAATCTATATTTTCTGTAATTATGCTTCCCAAGTATTTAAACTGTTTGACCCGTTCAATTTTTTTTTGGTCAAGAACAAGTTGTGCCTCTCTGTGTGGGGTCTGACTAAAAATCATAAATTTAGTTTTGTTTGCATTTATTTTGAGACCGGCATCAATTCCTGCTGAGTTAATTTTGTTTAGTAGTACCTGTAAGCCTTCTAGGCTGTCGCATATGATTAGTGTATCATCAGCATATCTAATGACGTTAAGAATTACGCCGTTGATTTTAATCCCATAATTTGAGTTTTCTAAGGCATTTTTGAAGATTTTGTCTGAGTACAGATTAAACAATAAGGGCGAAAGAATGCAGCCCTGCCGGACTCCTCTCTGTATTTCAATTTCTGCTGTTTTCATTGTTCCTAACTTGACTTCTGCTGTTTGACCCCAGTATAAATTTTGAATTATTCTGATGTCCTTGCCATCTAATTGAACTTGGTGTAGGATCTCTATTAATTTGGAGTGTTTCACACTATCGAAAGCCTTTTCATAGTCGATGAAACAAGCAAATATGTCTTTTTGTTGTTCACGACATCTCTGGAGAAGGACGTTGATACTAAACAACGCTTCTCTTGTTCCAAAAGCATTTCTGAATCCAAATTGAGTTTCCTCGAGATCAATTTCACATTTTTTATATATCCTGGCGTGTATAATATGTAGAAATATTTTCAGAACATGGCACATGAGACTAATGAGTCTGTAGTCGCTACAACTTTTAGGATGACTTGTTTTAGGGATTGTTACAAAGGTTGATTTTAACCAGTCTTTTGGTATTGTGCCAGTATTGTAGATTCGATTGAATAATCTAGTAATTAGACTTCGAACTCGCATTTGAGTTATAAATAAACACTTGGCTTTATTTTTATCATTTTAGTTGATACGTGACGACAGCACGTTTCGGGCATAAAGCCCCTCATCAGTCAACTTGTATTTTCTCGATGTTATTAATCCGATGGGTTGGACACATGTTCTTTGGATGGATGTTGTTGTTTCTATAATTGAAATTTCTATGTTGTCTTCGAAACCGTGTTTTTTGAATACATTGGACTTCAAACTTGCATTTGAGTTATAAATAAACACTTGGCTTTATTTCCATCATTTTAGTTGATACGTGACGACAGCACGTTTCGGGCATAAAGCCCCTCATCTGGCATAAAGCCCCTCATATATTCAAAAAACACGGTTTTGAAGACAACATAGAAATTTCAATTATAGAAATGGCAACATCCATCCAAAGAACATGTGTCCAACCCATTGGATTAATAACATCGAGAAAATACAAGTTGACTGATGAGGGGCTTTATGCCCGAAACGTGCTGTCGTCACGTATCAACTAAAATGATGGAAATAAAGCCAAGTGTTTATTTATAACTCAAATGCGAGTTCGAAGTCCAATGTATTCAAAAAACACGGTTTCGAAGACAACAATCTAGTAATTAGTTTAATATTATCATTTTCGATCAATTTCACAATTTCCGTCAGGATTTCGTCAAGTCCGGGAGTTTTCTTATTCTTTGCGATATGAATGGCATGCTTTACTTCTTCGTCGAGTATTTCAGGACCTTCTACTGGGTCTTTATTTATGGGTGTTGGTCTTTCCTCATCAAAAAGTTTTTCAATGTAATGTTTTCACACGTTTTTCAATTCGTTTTCATCAATAATAGGACTGTTATTAGCATTCATTAGTATATTAGAGCGATGACACTTCAATGAACCCTTCATTTCTTTGATTTTCTTATGCATCTGGAACATATTATGTTCTTTTTCGAGGTTTTCAATTTCGTTGCAGTTTCTCTTTATCCATTCCTCCTTGGCCTTTTTTTATCTCTATCTTTATAATGTCATTAACACGTTTGTAAGTTTCTGCATCATTTTTTGTTGTCTTCGTTTTTTCATTAAGTCCAGTATCTCTTCCGTCATCCATCTTTTCTTCTTGACTTTACAGGTTGATTTCAGGTTTTTGTGACAGACTTTGATCAAGATGTCACTCAGATCTTCCCATAGTGTTTGTATGTCAGAATGATTATTATCTTTCAAGTTGCCCAGCTCCTTATTCAATTCTTCTTCTACTTGTTTTCTAAATTGTGGTATTTCTATTCTCGTAATATCATAGTGTTGGCTTTATTTATATATGTTAACATATTATACCTTAAACAATATTATATAAGTTAAGGAAGTTTTAGAACAAAGGTAAGGATTTATTGCTTATGCAGAGTGACAAGTTGCTCTAATTTAGCACCCTGCAGTGGTCTAATGCAAGTTCACAAATTGTTGCTGTGCTTGAGACAGAGACAGGGTTCTCCTAGTAAATATTTAATGTCAGTAAATGATGTCTGTGAGCAATGCCAAGGCCATCCTATTACATTTAACAAGGCTCAGAGTTAACAATATCGGGCACCCATTTTCATAATTAAAACAAAATCTCATTTTATTTTTATACTGAAATACTGGTATAAATTAAAATAAAAATGAACAGCCAGTTTATTTACAATGTAATAAAAATGTAAAAAACAATTTCATCAATAAAAAGTAAACTTCTGTGAGATAGTGGTGGCTGGTGTCCTACCTCGGGCTGCAGCTCTATTAGCTCAATAGTTAAGGTGTTACAGAGTAATGCAATGAGTAAGTTTGCATAAAGTTTCTATAAAATTTCTAACACGATACTCCTGTTAGGAATTTTATTTTTTTAAATATGTAGTAGGAAGCAATGAGAATATTGTAGTGATACTGCATATTTTATATTATAATAGTACTGCACAAAAAATAGAACAGCAATACAAATAAATAAACTAAGTAGGTTTATAACCTGTCTTATTGTATATCTTCAAGTTCTTTCAAATTGTTTTTTAAACATAACTATTGGTTATCCATACAAAATTATGGTAAATGTTTGGTTAAGTATAGACATATTTTCTCTCTGTCCCTAATATATACAAGGTCTGTTCAAAAAGTATCGGACCTTTGGTCGGCAAAAATAAATTTATTGACTTTGAGGAACAAAANTTATTACGTTGTTAGTATAAAAATAAGTAATTTGAAAATAGCACACGTAAAAAATTATTAAAAGACTAAATATTGTAAAATGAATTTAATTACTATC